GGAAGAGAGGATTGAGTTGTCAGGCAACACAGAAGAGGGAACTAAGGTTGAACTGGCCAGAGAGGTGCCACCAAGAGGACATGACAAGAAGTATCTTGAAGGAGAGGTGGGTAAGCATAAAGCAAAAGATGAGACCAGTCCTGGCTAAAAGCATAAATAGACAGGGTCAAAGGATGGGGAACAAAAAACCAGAAGAGAGGAAGCTTGGAATTTAGAGGTGGCAAAGGCATCACTGAGTGGAGTCCTCAAGAAAGCACACCTGATGGAAAACCTGGGGAGAAGAGACCATTCTGTGAGCATAACACAGTATGGCCAAGAGAGGCAGTCCATAACTACGCTAACAGCATCCGGTACATGACAAGCTATGAGATAGACCCATTGAGAATTGGTTCAATAAAAAAGGTCCAGGTTTTGAAAGCAAAGGATACCTTGACAGTTCATACAGGAAAAACCGTGTAGTTATCAGAATGGATCATAACAAAATGATCCAGGAGGGTAAGAAATATGAGCATGCCCAATGGACTACAAGAAGTTCGAGTGTATTGATATGGATAAAGGACTCATCCTGAATCTGTGTGCCAGATGTAAAATTGTTGTTTACATGTGCCCCCCAAGAAGAAGCATTTGGTGCACATCTGGTTTGGGTGGAGGTTAGAAGATATTGGATCGGTCCACCAGCCATCAATACAAATCCTCAAGTAGAGGAGGAGATAGGTGAACCATCTTGGTCAAAGATTCCTGCGAGTGGTTCCACTGGTTGCAGAAAGACCATTGGAGAAGGCGCATATGTGTATAACCCAACAAAATAAACTGTTCCAGTGAAAACATAGTCCCCAAAAGCAAAATCCTGATTGCTAACTGACAGATAGGAGAAGGCTAGGAACAGTTGAGAAAAAGAGTTGAAAACAAACCCCAGGTGAATAAGATATTCCTTTTTTTTCGAGACATTGTAGGTAGATAGGATCAGATAGAGAAGGGAAAAAAGAAAACAGGATGAAAGCTGAGAGGAAGAGGAAAAGAAATGGAGAGAAAGTCCATGGGTAAAAAGTAGAGTAACCCCTGAGAATGGAAAAGTATACCATGGGTGCTCAAATCACAACAGATGGGTACCCACATAACCCATCTCAATGAGTCTGATGCCAGGTAGAAGAAGAAAGTTGGGGAGAAGAAATCAAAAGATGGGAAACTGGTGACTAAGTCAAGGTACAGTGGTGGAGGGTAAGGTTTGGGACAGTGTGGAAACTAAAGACAAAAGTGAGAACTGATGATGGGCAGCCTCCGCCCATGATTCAATCAAATCAGGAATACCCCAAAAACTAGAGGGTAAAGAAATGTGGCTAGATGAAGATGTCATAGAAGAGTAAAAATAAGTTGAACCTAGGAAAGAAGAGTATCCTTACCCAACAACAAAATCAGGCCACTATCTTATTAGAATGATACATGGTTACTTAACTATTTATTGACAGAAAATGTATTTTTTAGAAAAATAAACCCTTTCTGCAAGTTAAGACAACATACCCTTCAATAAAGAACTTCACCATCTTGTCTAATCATAAATGTCTTTAAAACAGAGAATGGTACTATTACTTGAAAATATTAACAAGTGAAAAAAATGACTCAAAATAAATAAAAAATTCTTTTGACCTTTGGGAGTTCTTTAAGAATTTGCTGATAACATTAAACTCATTTTCTAGGTGTAATGAGGATGCTACAGAATGACTTTGGTCAACTGGACAAATAACCTTTGATCACAGTAAGTGCATGGTAATGCATTTGGGTTATAATTTGCATCATATAGATGAGAAACCACTCAGCACCATGACTGAAGAAAAGGATCTTAGCATAGTGGTAGATATAAAGTAGTAATGCTAATAAAATTTTAGATTGTACTAATTACTAGTTATGACTAAAGAATGATGACTTATAGAAAAAGATTCAAATGAGAGCTACTACAATGATCCCACAAATGAAAGGTTTATCTTATAGTTCTCTTATTTCCTATTGAGAAAAGAAGAGTAAAAATGATTTTATTTAAGTTTGTAGCATTATTCAGGGAACTGACAGGAAAAATTAATTTGATTTTTTTGTTCTGTGTTTTAAATATAAGATGAAAATGATACAAGTTTGAGATTTGGAAAAACAGTTACATTTTATATTTCTAATAAACTGATTGACTTATGGAATAAGAATTTAAAATGGAAATAAGTAATTTTCTGAAAAATATAGGGTAGGTTTAAGTTATTCTTAAGGGTGCAGCCTTGATGGATGAAATGGCTTCTTGCCTGTATTGTCATTGTCTTTCAATGGGTGGACTCTTTTAGATTATTTGATAAAAATAAGGGCATAATATAGATAAGAATATGTGTATATTGTTGGAACTTGTTTTTTCTCTGAGTGGGTTCTCTTGAATTATTTGATAAATATAAGGCCAAGTCCAGTTCATATACAATAACAAATTAGTTTATTTCTTCCTTACCATCTGCTTCAGGCTATGCAGTTGTAAGCCTATGAACACAAATAGTATTTTCACTTTAAACAGAAATTTCCTCAACTGATAACAAACCTGACTAACTTACTAATTAACTTTATTCAATCAACAACTACTCAATTCTTTGCACACTGAATATTTTGCTAAATTCTCTATAACTATTACTTCACTAACTTACTGACTGGCACTCAGATACTCACTAATGGCTTGCTCATATTTATAATTAATGTACATACCTAAATCTTAGTTTATTGGATCTTAACCTCATGTGCCCTCTAAACATCTAAATCAAAATAATGAAAATATAGCATACAACAGTATGTTAAGAAAATATGCACTTTCTATTTTGTAGTTGACATAAGACTCCTATTAAGTATTAAGAGAGAAATTACATACATTTTTAGTCAAAGTATATTAATTTATTAACATCTGTTACTAATCAGTTTACATTAAATTATAACTATAAACTACAACTCAACTTCTATTAGTGTCATGTGATAAGGCTGGCTTTGAGTGTTTTATTTTTTATTTTATTTTAATAGATGGTGTGACCTGGATGGACCAACAGATCTCCTTGTCCCAAAATTATACACAAAAACATAGCATTTAAGGGATAAATAGAGGCCTTAAAAATGGTAATAACAAATCCACTATAAACAAAATCTTAAATCCCACCCCAATCCTTAGAATATTTATCAAGCAAACTGGGAATAATCTTACTCATAGTACTCTAAGCAGTGTGCTGTTGCTAGGTAGGGCAAATAGGATTTCAAGTTGTATCAACAGCAATATCAAATACAAACCTGAAGAGGTTATAATTGCATTGTTTTAGTCACTGGATAGGCTTGTTTGGAGTAATGTGTTCAGTCTTGGGGTCCTTATCTTAAGAAGGATATTCAACTGTTGGAAAGGGTTCATAAGAGAGCTAGTGCTAGATGGTTTAAGAGACCAATCAACCTGAACACCACAATCTTTTTCTTCCATAAAACTGTTAAGGATATTCCCATCAAAAATAATTCAAATCATAATAACCCACATGCATTACCTTGCATTTTTTAGAATTAAAATCAATGAACCATTTATTCACCCAACTAACTATATGATCTAAATCCTTTTGTAAAACAGAAACATCCTCCTTATAGCCAGCAACAACCATCTTAAGATTATCAGCAACTTTAAGCAATTTATTGACCATTCCTTTATCTATGTAAATCAAAATGACAAAGGGTCCTAAAACTGAGCTCTGGAATAGCCTAGTTGAGATTAATCCAATCTGACTGAATTCCATTTATAACAATTCTCAATATTATTCACTCCAACTATTTCTTGATCTGACTAGCCAACTTTTCCCTACATCCACAGTGATAATTTTATTAACAAGCCTTTTATGTAGCAACTAGTTCAGGGTTACCAGACATCCCAGTAAAACTGACATAATTAGGCCAAGTAAGAAAAAATATATACGTTTAGTATCCAGAGTTTTTGAAAAAAGGAAGAAGTTCCTTGTTTCTATTTTTTAATTACCTCATTTAAAAACAGCTTGCACCTTTTTCATGACTGTTGCTTGTTTTCAGAGGGTCCATGTCAGGCATGTCTTCTTTGTTTCATTTTTAATCAAAATGATACAGAATTTATGACAAATAAAGAAAAAGGGTGAAATGAATCAACTGTATTCATCTCACTTTTTTAATCAGAATTCTTCTTTGTTTCTTTTTTTGATCAAAAAATGAGCATTCAAAAACTGAAAAAAAAAAAAAAACGTGGAGGGAAATGGCTGCAAAAAAGAAAGTGGGCAAGGATGCTAAACATGTATTTGTTTTTACTTGGTCTTACATTTATCCTTCTTCCTTCCAAACAGAAATAGTATAATCCTTGAATTGTCCATTTCTTTGTAGTTTAATGTGAGTAATCTAAATACAAGGTTCTATTATATACAGCTCTTTTAAGTTTTACAAAGATAAATCAAACAGTACAGACAGTTTCCCTAAATTTGGGAAACCTTGCCTTGTCAAATGCTTTAGTATAGTTTATTGTATTAATAATAATAGGCTTACCCTCATCAACCTAAGCCATTATTACTATCAGCATGATTTTCTCTCAGTGAAACCACACGGACTACCCAACAAAATTAAAATTTTGTTATTAAATAATAAATTACTTTACAAAGCATTTTTTAACACTTTGAAAAATCTTTCCACCAATGATGTAACTTGCAAAACTAAAAGGCCTATAATTACCTGGACAATTTTTATTACTTCCCTTAAAAAGAGCAACCCTGTCCTAAAATCAACCCTGTTGACCTGCCCAGCACTCAAGAACTTGCAAAATATTATTAACATGTGTCGCTTAATCCAGATCGCGTAAGGTTTGAATTAGGGTCGCAAGAAATCCGAAAAAAAAATATTTTTTATTTTTGGTAAAATTTCCAGAAAAAAAAATTACATTATTTTAGATTGTATTACAAAATAAACAAAATAATGACAACTATTTATAAAGCACCACCTTTTAATACCTCTGTAAATCGGAATTTTCGTTACACATCCAACACGAGATACAATTAACCTAATTTCAGTCTATACATAGTTGTGTACAGGAAGTATTCAAATACAGACCAAAGTTGAGATTTGAGAAGCGCGTGCGTCACGCAACAATAGAACTGAAGTGTAAGATTTTTTAACGTTTCTTTGAAATATAGGAATTAAAACTTAAAAAATATAAAACTTTGAATTATAACGTAAATTATAATGCTAATTTCATTAACATGCACTTATCTTAAAGTTGCTTAATTAAATTTTGAATACAATTCAATAAAACCCTGTGACATGACCAGAAAAGGGACGCATAACTTTAAACGCTAAATGTCACATCGAATTTCATGCTGTTCGATTACACAACTCTCCCTTACGATAACCATAGAAAGTTATTTCGAAATCTAGAAATGTTTTTCTGTAATATCAAAACAAAATCCGAATCATTATATATCAAGTCTGGCTTGTTTGTAAAGGCTATTAACTCAGCATTAAAGGAAGATTTAAACTAGGAATAAAAAGCGGTGAGGGCCAGGATAAACTAAATGCAAAAAAAATAAAATGAAAAATATGATGTAGAGAAAAGTTTAGCATAAGAAATGAGAATAGTGTTACATCTCCATTCGTTAGTTGATTTTCCGTAACTTCGTTCCCACGAAACTTTAGCGACACAAGTCCTTTCTTAATAAAACTGGTTTATTCTTTCCGAATATAACTTTACCGATACACTTATTTCAGTGGTGGGATTCAGCCGGTTCG